CCCCTCAGCAGTAATGTTAAGCATTTCTAGTAATTAGAGTGGTTGTTTACAATCTTTTGGGCTACAGAGTGAGGCTCAAAACTTTCTTGCTATTAGTCACTATGTTGCTAATCTGATCCCACACTAACTAAAGCAAGACCAAAGACTATCAGGGACTTCAGCAGATCCTAAAGCTATGTATAAAAGGTAATTGCATACTCAAGAGAAAAGCCTGGAATAGGTGAGCTTGTGAGAAGTAGCTAATTATTTCATGTTAGCTCCCCCAGTGACCACTCTTACTCTGCAATTGCAGTGCCTTTCCACTGTTTGGATTAATCCACTTTGGACGCTCAGAAGGCCAATTAATAGGCTCTCAGTTGGTATAAGGCCTTTTAGCTTTGCTTGAGCTAAATTAGCTCATACAGCTGAGGATCCAGCCCCTTCTTATCCACCGACTTCGAGCAGAGGTGACACCAGACAGTGGCTGTGCCGCCATCTACCGTAGGTTTTGCGTAGCACTGCTTGGTCCAAAGCCCGCAGGAATCGGTCCAGCAATTCTTCCCGCTAGCGTCCAGGCTCAATGACACAGACACCACTCCCTAAACACGTACCTAAACAATGGCCTGATCCTGCAATCCTTGCTCAGGCAGAGCTCCCTCCACAGACTGCAGGTTAGCTGCTGCTAATTAAGCATCACATTTTGTGTTACTGTTCTTCAGCTACTAAGATCTGTCCTGTAAATTTGAAGTCTCTGTGCTTCATAGCTCTATTAACAGTTGCCTTAAAAGTCAATTGAAAATAGTGTAACACTCAAAAATATGTCCAAGTTTTCCTGAACCAGCTTATCATATATCACATAGCCCAATGAACGCCATCCATGAAACCCAAAGAGTTTCACTATCTTCAAGAAAGCTTTCTGGGTGCAAGTAAAGGCAGAATCTGCACCCATGCAGTTCTCTCTCCATTTTAATATATGGCTTAAGCTTCTCTTGGTCATCCCAGATGTCAAGTTATAGTGAAAGCTTTTGTAATTGCTCTTGGGAGGCTTTTTGGTTTTGTTTTTCCCCCAACAAGTACTTAAGTCACCAGAAAGCAGTACAGCTTTCCTTACTCATGCATACAAATGGCTCTATCAAGAACAGGGGCAAGGGATTTCATAGCTGTGGTGCTGTGGGACGAGCTTTAGTTGCATTTTGAGAACAAACTTCCAGCTGTAAGGAATAAGGGGGTGTTGGTTGACAGCTGGCTGAACATGAGCCGGCAGTGTGCCCAGGCGGCCAAGAAGGCCAATGGCATCCTGGCCTGTATCAGAAATAGCGTGGCCAGCAGGAGCAGGGAAGTGATCGTGCCCCTGTACTGGGCACTGGTGAGGCCGCACCTCGAATACTGTGTTCAGTTTTGGGCCCCTCACTACAAGAAGGACGTTGAGGTGCTGGAGCGTGTCCAGAGAAGGGCAACGAGGCTGGTGAGGGGTCTGGAGAACAAGTCTTATGAGGAGCGGCTGAGGGAGCTGGGACTGTTTAGCCTGGAGAAAAGGAGGCTGAGGGAAGACCTCATCGCTCTCTACAACCACCTGAAAGGAGGTTGTAGCGAGGTGGGTGTCGGTCTCTTCTCCCAAGTAACTAGCGATAGGACGAGAGGAAATGGCCTCAAGTTGCACCAGGGGAGGTTTAGATTGGACGTGAGGAAAAATTTCTTTACTGAAAGAGTGGTGAAACATTGGAAGAGGCTGCCCAGGGAAGTGGTTGAGTCCCCATCCCTGGAAGTCTTTAAAAGACGTGTAGATGATGTGCTTAGGGACATGGTTTAGTGGGTGGTGGTGTTGGGTTGATGGTTGGACTCGATGATCTTAGAGGTCTTTTCCAACCTTAATGATTCTATGATTCTATAAAACAAAACGTAAAAAGTGTCCTACTTCTATCTAGTGACAGACATCCTCCAGCTATGCCAAATTCTTCAAGTTCCCCCAGCCTCCTGACAGAGAAGTCAGAAGCCACCTCTCTTCCCATCACCCTATAGGTAGAGAAAGGCTGATGGAAGTTTCAAGCAATCAAGGTGGAAAACATCTGCCAGAGTAAACTTTAATTTAGCACACTCTACACAATATTTATAGAGCAAACCTATGAATGCTGCTTGAGCCATTTAAAGGCTGGAGACTAAATTCTGTTTTCTGAATGTTTATTCTGACTTTCTCCAACTGTTCTTCTTACTTGACAGTGCTTAACTGGCAGCCAGCCATGAAAGCTGTTGTCTAATTACACAACATATCATGATCTTACAGCCCTACAGATAAGGCTTTACTGCAGCATAAATGGATTTTAAACATTAGCATATGAGAAAAAGAAAATTAGCCTCCAAATTAGAATATTTCAAAGTCTTGTGCGTGAATAGTCACTATTATTTGTTTAGGAAAGCATGGTTTCGAAAGAGGAACTTCTATTAGAGATTAAATAGCCTTTAATGTTAAACAGGCTACAACTTAGTGGGCTGGCTAGCTAACCCTTTATGCATGGCAGAAATCTATTCACATCTAATTACATATTTTAGCCTATCTTAAAGATACCATATATTTGCATGGAATCAGTCCAGCTGGGGATTATGGCAGCATTATGATGGCATAGCTACATGTGAGGTTATGAAAAACACAGATTTTGTGAATCACTTGCAATGTTTTGCTACACAGGCACCCTTGAAATAAAGGCACAGTAAATATATTCTTAAATGATCTCAGACTACGTACTTTTGCAGAAAACACAATTTCACACTGCAAATTACAATGACTATTAAAGAGGAACATACAACCGTTTGACTTATCTTCTGCTAACAAGATCCTAATTGTTTTATATTTAAAGATGTTGTACACTAGGTCTGACTTTGTGATGTAAGTGTGGTTAGCAAGTTGCAAGTTTTAAGATCATGGGAGTCCTTTCTTCACTGCACATAAACTTGAGGGACAGGATACAACTATGTATAATAAAGTCATTGTTTTGCTTTTATATGAAACAAATTACATTCTTCTCTCTTTCAGTAGATACTCTGCAGATGTGACAATAACCATGACATCACCTAGAATGCCAATTCTCTTTCTGGTGCACTGACTGGAAAACTAGGAAAAAAGAATCACACCCTATAGGTGCAGGGGGTTGTTCTTGCACGTAGGCTGAAAGAGTAGAAAGATGTATATGCGCATTTCAGTGTATTCTTCCTCTTCTTGGCATGATCTTGCAGAAGTTCATGCATGTGTGCAACTTTACTTACTGAGCAGTTCTGCTGGCTAAGTGGGACTGCTCAGGTGAGTAGTCACTTCTCCGAGTACACTGTTGTCAGATTGGGCCCCTTGTAGCCTTTTCGGCAGCAATGCTCTACGCAGAATGGCTGTGTGCATTCTCAGCAATGCACACAAAGCTTTCAGAGTCCCATTTTAGGGGAACGACACTGTCCTCCTCCACAAACAAAAGTAATCGAAGAAATGCAGTGCTAGGACCTCATTCCACACAAATTCAGCAAAGTGAAGCCTTCATCATAGCTCTGTTTTTCAATGATTTGTCTTTCTATAAAATATAGAAAGGGAGGAGGCAAGATTCAGCTGCTTTGACATCTAAAGCTTTTACAAACATTAAGTGCATGATAAAGTATGAAGTTGCAAGGTGGAGCAAGTGAAGTAGTGACATATGATACAGCAGCCCTCTCCTCCCCATTTGTAAGCCTGTATTGTGGATATCTAGTAGAAATACAGCTGAATTAACAGTAATGTCTATCACACAGCATGGCAACCTGCTGAAGTACTCCATACTTTACACATTAGCTAAGAAGGGATCTACTTAAGTCACTTTAAGTTGTTTTAATTTAACAGAAGATTTATCCCCAGGTTTATCTGGATTTATTTAAAACAACCCAAGAACCAAAATGTGGTTCTCCACCAGAGAGGCAAGTCCGAGTTTCCTCCAACACTTGCATAACAGAGCTTACTTTCTCAGCATGCTACCATAGTGGGACGCAGTCACTTAAGAGTTACAATGCAATACATTGTGATTTACTACAGTTACTCCGATTTGAGATTGCACAGGCAGGAAAACCGAATAAAGGTTACATTTCTAGCACTGACAGCAGAAAACACATTACCAGAAGCATGCTATTACTAAAAACCTAATTAGTACTACTGAAAAGCTCGAAACTTCAGCCATGGAAACGGCCACATGACTTTTACTTTGAAATAATTTCTTTAAAAAAAAAAAATATGACAATGAAATGCAGGTGAGGTCTGTGCGAACCCAGCCCCAGATGTTTACAATGCAGCGAGTAGCGGTATAGCGGCGCTGCAGCCCGGCAGCGGCGGGGCGCAGCGCGCACGCCAGGGACGCGGCAGGCACCGGCATAGCCTCACCGCGGGCGGC